AATGTGGCCAGAGAGAGAACTGCAGATGAACCGACCCCCTAGCCTGGCTCTCCCGGGGAAACAGTGGAGCCGGGCCAGACCTGGAGACGGAGCGTCATTGCTCCTCGTGTAGGTGAATAGCTGGGATTCATTAGCGCTGGAGACTTCCATGGTGGGCAAGTTCTAGCAGGCTCCGGGGGAAGGGCCCTTTGTCTTTCCTGCAGACCTACTCCTCTCCGTCTCTGGCCCTGGTTGACTTGAACTTTTGTGTTTTGCACAGCTGATGAAAATTAAACTTAATTACCCATTAGGCTGAGATGTTTCTATCAGGTTTGCCGACCAGTCTGCCCCAGTGGTCCTTCTTCTGCCCTTCCCGGCTCTATGGCTACCGCTCGCCGCTGATCTGAAGTTGGAGCTTGGAGACTGGGGCGCTGTTGGCGCGCCAAGACAGCCTTCCCTGCTGTTTCCTCCTGTGTGCTCACAGGCGAGCAGCCTCCCGGGTGGGACAGAAGAAGGGACAGGTTTTGCTGGAGGGCCTCATCCTTTCGAGTGAAAATGAGTGGGTATTGCGACTTGTCGTGAAATGGGTGACTTCATCTACTACAGTCAACTGTTGATTTCTGAGTGCTGATGGTAAGCAGAGAATTCTTCATTCCAGGTATCATCCCCTACTTCTCAGCACGGCACTTTGCCCTTTTCACCCACACCTTTCTGGTGATTTATTTCTGCCAGAGGTGGGGGTCTAAGAGAAGGGCAGGAGGGGGAGCGAAGGGTAATAAAAATAGCCAACATTTACTGAGTGCTTGGTGTGTTATAGGCACTGTTCTGAGTGCTTGACTCCAACCCTCTGGGGGCAGGCTCCATTATTCTTCCTGCTTAACAGATGAGGAAACTGAGGCCATCATGGGTGAGATTACCTGCCCAGGTGTACACGGGTAGTAAGTGCTCCAGCTCGATTCACCAGGAGCCTGTGTGGTCCAAAGCAAGCGCGTTTAAGGCAGAAATGGTGGGGGAAAGTCAAGGGGAGGGCCAGTCCTTCAAATAACCGCTGTGTAGTTTGTAGCTTAAACACAACCGCTGTGCATACAAAGCCACTTTCCCCAAATCTAACGAATATTTCGTCAACTTTTCAATGTCAACTTATGAACACCAGTGATTGAAAATAAGTTGGGAGTTTGCAGATCCTTTTGAGACTTTGAAGAAGACTACGGCTCCCTCTTACTCCAAAAACAATGCGTGCAGGATTTTGTGTATAATTTGCGGAGGTTTGAAGACCCTCCAAAAACTCCCTCCTGAGAGACCCCATGTGATCCAGGTTAAGAACCTCTGATTTAGAACAATACTCAACTCTATTGATATGAGAAATTGAGTTGATTATAATAGGAAGAGAGGAAACTAAACTTGTGTAGGAAAATCGAAGTTTGTGTAGGGCTGTTTGGCCTCGGGCAAACTCCTGACTTTCCTCTCTTGTAGTCATGGCTTCCCTCTCCCTCTGTGAACCAGGGTTTATTGTGAAGTTCAACAAGGTAATATTGGATCAGGGCTTTGTGTTCCCCAGAGAAATATGTTCTGCTTCTTTTTGAGAATTCCTTTCCAGACTCTGTAGCTCTAGGAAATTCGTAAACCCAAATTAGACAGCAAATTAGCAGGAAACAATTATACTACTGTGGGCATTCCAGAAAGAGTAGTGAGGGGCTGTTTCCAGGTTCCTAAGCCTGGAAGAACAAAGACCTGGCACTGGGGACTTCTTTAGGTTCATCACCTAGAGTCCCAGCCTGGTGGGGTATAGTTGCTATAGGAATGAGGCTGCTGTAATCTGTTTTGATAAGTGGCTGTGTATGTATGTAGGGGGTGGGGTGGGAGGTTGAAGGGATGGAGATGAGGGAAGAAGGAAGTGGTAATGTCAGCTGATGGGAGGAACAGACTCCTGAGAGGCTCTAAGACCTCAGTATTTGGAAACTAAGTCACCACATCCCCAGGCCCATCACCAAAGTACTAGAGCTGTTTGGCCAGCAATAAAATGAACCTCCCCTCTTCTCACCTCTGATCTCCAACCTGCAGATATGTTGCCCTTTGGTATTTTCCTGCCTTTTAGAGGCTATTCTTTGTGCTAATTTTAATCAGTTTTCACCTGGATAGGGAAGTTGTGGGTGAGGAAGAAGGCCCGTGCCATAGCGTCAGACTCAGGCTCATAATACATATAATATTTATTGAGCATTTAGTATGAGTTAGGCAGTGTGCTAAGGGCCCTATTATGTACATAGTCTCCTTAAATTCGCCTGTCTCAAAGTTTGACGATTATTTCCATTTTACAGATGAGAAAACTGAGATTGAGAGCATTAGTTAGCTTGGTTTAGGTCATTGTATTGGGAAAAAACAAAACAAAAAACAAAAAACAGACCAAAAAACAACCCCAAGCCCCTGTCCTTCTTTCTCCTGGTGTATTCCATACTCTCATATTTCTACCCCACTCACTTTGGACACTTCTGATATGTGTGATTTTTTTCCCCCCACCAAGCAAGTCTTTAACACCAGCTGGGTGTCCTACAGTTGTACTCAATTCTGACAGTTTCTGGAGAGGATGTCACATCCCACAGGTCAAGTGCTCAGTCCCACAAGACTGTCCCACTTTAGACACCAACTTCAAGTACTAGGTCCTCAAGTTACCCACTTGGCTACAATACAGAGGGTCCCATAACATCCTCCCCCTTGGATTCAGTGACTTGCTTGAAGGGCTCACAGAGCTCAGGGAATCTCTTACATTTGCCTGTTCATTAAAGGAGGTGATGAAGGATACAAATGAACAGCCAGATGAAGAGATATGTAGGGGAGGTCTGAGAGTCCCACGCTTCTACCCCCATGGAGTTGGGGTACATCATCCCACTGATACATGGAACGTGGAAGCTCTCCAAACCTTATACTATTGGGATTTTTATGGAGGCTTCCTCATGGGAGACATTACTCACCATTAATTCCATTTTTAGCCTTTCTCCCTTCTCAAGAGAATGGGGGGTGTAGCGCTAAAAATTCCAAGCTTCTAATGACTTGGACTTTCTAATGACCAGCCCCCACCTGGAGTCACCTCATTAGGACAAAGACACTTGTATCACCCGGGAAGTAGAAGGGTGTCAAGAGCTCAGTGCCAGGAGCTGGAGGCAGAGACCAGCATATATTTTCTATGATCTCACAGTCATAGAGTCAGAAAGTGGTGAATTGCGGCTTTGAATATGGGTCATTGACGGCTAAGTTCTAGCTCACAGTCACTTCTCTGAGATGGGCCCCAGAGGCGTGGCTGACATTCAGGAATTTCTCTCTGAGAGGAGCACCTATGCCAGGCCCCTGCCTATCCAGTCTGTCCTGAGCCCTGGCGGTTCTACCTTCCCTAAGTCTCTCCCACCGTTTTTCCCTTCCACTCCATTGCTTACTTTCAGTCCACTATCAACGGTTTCAGGGGTGCTCTTAGTGCCAGCCTTGGCCTCCTCCATCCCTCGGTCTGGATGCCAACGTGACTTTTCTTCCTAGATCTTTGCTTCGGGCCCAGAACGCGCTGCTCCTAGACTACCAGAGCCCCTCATTCTAAGACAGACTAAAACCCAAACAGTGTAACCACTTGCTTCCTCTTTTCCTGCCCTCTGCCTCATCCAAACTATACATATTATTATCTTTCCTCTTGCGTTGGCTTTTGTTATGATACTTACATTCTTCTCAAAACTGTTTAAAATGCATTTTAATGGTACATGCTGCCATGGATCCTTTGGGAACAAGAATACAAATAAAATTGTAATATACGCAGGTAAATACTTATCATTTCCCAGTGGCACTGGCCCAATTCAGTCCTTCCTCCTAGAAAGGCCTCCTCAAACCCTTCCCTGGATTGAGATCCCCTCTCTCTCAGACTCCAAGTGAAGCTTCCCCAGTTTAGGTAAATTTCCCACTGCCGCAGGCCTGAATATCATCCACTTCTCCCAACTTTTGTTCTTCATCGGACAGTACAAACTGGGACCAAACATGGCCTGAAACCCTGGCACTTCCCTGAGTTAGACCTGGCTGTGAACTCTGCTCTGGCACTTCCTGCTGAGGGACCTTGAACAAGTCACTTCATCTCTGAGTCTGTTTCAGTGTGGATAATACCATCATTGAACGTGTACGAGTGATTAAATGCCATAGTCACAGCATCCTAAGACATGGTAGAGACTGGTGGCTAGGACGATAGACCTTAGATCTGCATTCAAACCCTGGCTCTACTACTTACTTACACGGAGACTGTGGATGAACTATTGACTCAGTGACTCAGTTTCCCTATCTGTAAAATGGAGATGATAGTGGTTTATTATGAGGACTAAATGAGTTGATGCATGTAAGATACTTAAATGCCTGGCACGGAGAAACTGATTTTTAAAAATTGGCTATTATCCTTTGAATGAGCATCCTTTCTTGTTATTCAAGATTCCATTTGCTGTCCCTATGCCTAGATGGCCACTGTCACAACAGAGGCAGTGTCTTATGTGTTCTTTTATCCCTAATACTCTGCCTGGCATGTGCACAGGATCTATTTATGCTGCTGACCACACCATGATGGGCATCATGGGAAGATGCCTACAGATGCAAAGAGGAGGGTTTCCAAACTGTGCTCACCTGGGTTAGATGCTTGAGGTGGAAGGAGAGGAGGGTTAGTTCCCTCCTCCGTCCCACTCCAGCCCCGCCCACCCAAGCCATGACCTTAACAGCCTCAGAGTGCCATCCCAGGCAGGACACCTCTGGGTGGGGGTGGGGCTGGGTTTCCGGCCTCACCTGAGCGGCGCCACAGCCCCGCCTACCTCTGCCCCCAGCCAAGGGGCTGCTGGCTCCCCCTGTCCCAGCCGGCTGGCCTCCTGCCCCGGGCGTCCCTTCCAGCAGCAGCCCGGGGGCCTCCCTGCGTGGCCACACCTCCCGGGCCCCGCAAGGGTTAAGGCGGCAGAGAGGAGAGGTTTTGGGCTGACGTCGCTCTGGCTGAAGGTGGTTCCCCTCCGATGAGGATGGGAGAGCCTGGCGAGCTGAAACCCGAGCTCCCGCTCAGCTGGGGCTTGGGGAGTTCCGTGTAAGAGCCGCCTGCCCCTGGCCTCCCGCGGTCCCTCCGGTCCCTCCGGTCCCTCCGCAGCAGTCGCTCATCGGGGCACCGGCTCGGGAACGATGGAGCTGGGCTGCTGGACGCAGTTGGGGCTCACTTTTCTGCAGCTTCTTCTCATCTCATCCTTGCCTAGAGGTACCGTGAGTAGCGTTTAGGGCCCCGCTCCCAGGGGCATTTCTCTACTGGGTCCGGTGGGGAGCATGCCTGGGGCGCCCCAAGGGATGGCGCTGGCGGGGGGAGGGGGTGAGGGGGTGACCGCCAGCTCTTCTTCTAGTCTAGTCTAATCTTGGGGGCTTGGCTGGGGGTGTTGGAGCGTCTGACCTCCTGGAGAATGTGACACCGTTCTATCATCCCAACTTGGGGGACTGAACTGCCTCAGGAAGGGGTACCAGCTCCAGCTTACTTTGCTGGTTTTCGTTTTATCTTCGGAAAGCACAGACGGACCTCTGGGAATCTATCCCGTCTGACTCACCCACTCTGGCTGACAAAAGGGAGAAGTTTCCCCCTGGAAGGAGCCCCCCCAGGGGTGAAGCGGGAAGGAAAGAAACCAATCAAAAGCAAGGCTGGCAGCAAGGGGGTCCCTCCCGGTAAAGGTTGCTTGTTGAAACGCTGCTTGTCACACCCTTGAGGACAGAGCCCAGCACGGGAGATTGACCGGTCAGCACATATGCACTTCCTTCCCATAAGAATGAGAAAGAAGAAGAGAAAGCCGAGGTTAAAAATGCAAGCAGTTTCTGGGGACACACAGAGTTTGTTTAGAAAGAGCTCTGGCTTGTGTGTTTTTCACTATCATTTTCTGAGCCGCAAACCCCATGTCGGATGGGCTCCCTGGGCGAGTGAGACTGAAATGCGACCAGGGCTTTTGGGGGCCTCTTGGCTCAAGGAGGGGATGGGAGGCTGGTCTTGTCGTGGCTTGCTGGCAGGCAAGGAAACAGGGACTTCTTAAGAGCATCTGTCCTTACGGGGTTGCCGCGGGGCAAGGGGTCAGGAGGTGGGTGGGACCTCATCAGGGAAGGACAGGCTGATACGTGCAGGTGTGACAAAAACAGAGCAGCTTTGGTAGGAGCAGGGAGCCTGTGAGCTTTTGCTACTCGACTTCTGTGCCGGTTACTCGTCACCTGTGTTCTAGAGAGGGACGTGCTGTGTGGCTGCAAGTAGCTGGTGCGCGTCCCAGAATGAAACCGGGTCAAAGGGGTGGTGAGGGCCTAAAATCAGTAGCCTGCTGTATGGATGGGGGCCTCGACCATAGGCACAGCCCTTCATGATGAACTAAATTTAAGCCAAGATAAATGCGGGGGTGTGCAAAACCCAACAAACTCATTTTGGTCAATACTTTCCGTGTACCTATAGCCCGCTGGTCCCAGCTGGACTCTTCTCCCTCGAAAGCTGGAGTGTTGCGTTTGAATTTTGCCTGCACGGTGTCTGGAGCAGCCCACAGACAATAAATAATGAAGGAAGAAGGAGCCCATGAGGGGCTTGATAATCCGTAAACCTAGATGCTCACCTCGGGGTAGGTTGAGGACTTTGCATTAGGAAAGTCCTTCCTGTTCCATCTCTGCCTTCTGGAGCCAAGCCTCCTGGGCCTGGTGGCCCTATCCCAAGTCCAGGGGAGGCTGGTTCCTTCCCAGAGCACCAGAGCTCTGAGGACTAGCTTTCTCCTGGCTACGACAACGCTCCCCTGCTTCCTTTTTTTTTTTTTTTTTTTAGTTTAGTTTTGTTTTTTTGTAACATGGCAGGTGAGATGACTCAAACCCATACAAGTTAAAGAACAAAGCTCACCTGCCCAGGATCTGGAAAAAAGCCTTTGCTCCTAACCCCGGAATCTCTTCTACCTTTTGCTATGGAAAAGCTTCAGGAAGGGTGACTGGTTTCTTCGCAGTCAGGCTGCTGACCGAACTGGGGAGCAACTTCCAGCAAATTCACATGTCTATTTTTTTTTTTTTAAGATTTTATTTATTTACTTGACAGAGATCACAAGTAGGCAGAGAGGCAGGCAGAGAGAGGGGGGGAAGCAGGCTCCCTGATGAGCAGAGAGCCCAATGTGGGGCTCCATACCAGGACCCTGAGATCATGACCCGAGCCGAAGGCAGAGGCTCAACCCACTGAGCCACCCAGGCGCCCCAACTTCACATGTCTAGTGAGGAGAGGTCGGTTGTTGTAAGTTCACCCTTGGAGGGGGAGACGGAGGAATAGAAGTGGAGAAGGAAAATAATTCCTCAAATAGTGAGTGAGTCCACTCCCGGCTGGAATGCCGAATCTGGCCGGCTCTAGAAAAAGCCCGAAAGCAGATTTCGTCTCCTTACTTTTCTCGAGAGGGTTTGCTGAGACGTAAACATCCGCTGGGATGGCACGGGAGGTTGTTGCTCACAGGCACGGGACTCCTGGTGGAGGGTGAGAATGCAAACTCGTGGCCAAGTGATAACCCGACATAAACAGCATGTGGGGGAGAAACCCGACTCCACTGACTTCACCAATAGCAGGAGCTCTGCCAGCAGGATCCTGCCGAAGAGGAAAAACTCATTTAAAATATGTGGCTCTGGGGAACGAAACCGTAATATGGATAATTTTGCAAGTGTTGCTTCCAACAGACATTAGCTTGCGGCGAAAGAACCTAAAGGCAACCAGGGAAGATAATTTGAAGCCCAGATATTGAGCGGGCAGGAGCAGCCAGCTGAGAAAGGGGGTGTGGAAAGAAAGGGGGGGGAAGTGGAGCGGCAAGAAAAAAATTCTAGGTTGGTTGATAATGGCATGTGTTAGCAAATTCCAAGGAGAGAGTTATGAAAACTGGGCCATCTTGGCTAGGGTGGATTTTTGTGGGAACCATGAAGACCGTGTTCCCCTGATGTATACACTGAGAGCTCCGGCTTCTCTACCAGGAAAATAATTTGATGGTGGCATTGTGGATTTTTGGAGCCGGGAGTGACTTTGGAGATCATTTAGTTGGAGTACCTTAATTTCAGAGGACTCTGAGCTGGAACATCTCTGAACACGGGGTGATGGGCCCAATCTGAGCTAAATGCTGTACACGGACATTCATGAATTCTCAGACCACACTAATAAGGTAGAGCTGTTATTATCTTCATTTTACAAATGGGGTTTAGAGGGGTTCTGTGACCTATTCAAGGATACACAGGCACGGTTTCTCAAAAAATTAAACATTTGACCTAGCAATTCTACTTCTGGGTATATACACCAAAGAACTGAAAGCAGGAACTCAAACAGGTATTTCGTACACCAGTGTCCTTTGCAGCATTATTCCCAATAGCCGAAAAGGAGAAACAACCCCAAAATGTCCATCAGCGGATGAATAAAATGTGGTATATATGTATACAGAAATCTTAATCTGCCTTAAAAAGGAATAAAGTTCAGGCTACAGGGAGCCTGGGTAACTCAGTGGGTTAAAGCCTCTGCCTTTGGCTCAGGTCATGATCCCAGGGTCCTGGGATTGAGCCAGGAGCCTGCTTCCTCTTCTCTCTCTCTGCCTGCCTCTCTTCCTCCTTGTGATCTCTGTCTGTCAAATAGATAAATAAAATCTTAAAAAAAAAAAAAAGTAAAAAAAAAAGTTCAGGCTACAACAGGGATGAACTTTGAAGACATTATGCTAATTGAAAGAAGCCAGACACAAAGGACAAATAAATACCGTATGATTTTACTTATATAAGGTACCAAGAGCAGTCAGATTCATCAAGAAAGTAGACCGTGGCTAGCAGGGGTGGGGGGAAGTGAGCTAGGGGACTGAATGCTTAGTGGGTGTAGAGTTGCACTATGAGGTGATGACAAAGTTCTGGAGATGAATATTGGTGTTGGTTACAGGGCTACCGAATGGAAAGTGAGTAAAATGGTAAATTTTATATTACTTCTATTTTGCTGCAATAATGATTAAAAAAAAAAAGAAGAAGAAGAAGAATACACAGGCAGATGAGCCTGGGGAAGCCCAGACCGTCCGGTTCCTGAGCTCACGCTCACCTGGAAACAGGCCGACTTAAACTCACGCATCTCACGGAGGGATCGATCATGCCAATGCATAGGTCCCCTTGGCACGGCTTCACAACACTGCGTGGTAGGGGACAGTCCTGGCTAACCCCAGTTTCGGGGGCACCGTTGGCTCGGTCTTGGGTGGCAGTGGCAAAAGAGGGAGACTATAGAGCTGAAGGTCTGGCGGTCTTTGGGTCAAAATGCCTGAAAAAGTATTTATTGGGACATCGTGCTTAAAATGTTTGGAACCTGAAAGCTTTGAGGTGGGCTGGCCCTCTCTGTGGCAAGACGCCCCACCTTTTCAACCGACACTTACCAGCCGCTCCCTATTGGCATTTGAGATTTTGACTGCCGTTCTGGAGAGGGTGGAGTAAAAAGGGCGAGTGAAAGCAAGAAGGTGGGGGGCTGAGTGCTGAATGGGGAGAAACGGGAGAGAGGATGAGTAGCTTGACAGGATTTTTAAAAGAGGGAACGTAAATATATTTTAACGTGTGGGTTCTGTAGAACACGTGGAACCTCTGTGACCACCCACTCTTTGGGTAAAGGGTTTTATTCCCATAAGTGTCCTTGAACATGAGCTTTTGGTGGAAAGAGAGGATGAGGTTGGGTATTGTGTCTGGGTCAGTAAGTTAGGGACAAAACATCTTTGGGCATGGGAGTGTCTCAGAAATATCCCGAAGTCTTAGGGAATACCACTAGCATAGGCTGAAGGTTTGATTTAAAGTCCCCTACATCTGGGATATGCTGGCTAGACAGAAATGGCCGAGAGAATGGTATTGGGTAATCTAATGATTCGCCTTAAGTCAGAAATGATTTCCACCTGCCTCACTAGGGGCAGCCAATCCCCAAGCACGAGAAATTCCCTACCTGTCTCTCCTGAGACCAGCTCTAGAAGCTGTGCTCAATGTGGGGCATGTGCAGGCTGGGGGAGGTGTCATTTCAGCGATAAATGAGGGAAGTCTATACCCCCCTTCCCCCACATGGGGGAGGACCTGTCACCCTCACTGTGGGATATGTGAAAGTCACAAGAACCCAGCTCCCTGCCCCGCCCCCCTTTCTCTCTCTTTTTATTTTAAAGGGGAGAGAAATGCAGTGTTTATATTTTCCAGTTCCTGTCCAGGGTAGAGGACCCAGAGGCCAGCTGGAGCTTTGAAAGCTAC